CAGTGACAATAATATAAGAATCTAAATATTTTGCTGATTAGGTTGAAAAAATAAATATTATATATTATATTGTGTTATATACTGTTCAAAAAAAGGGAACACAAAAATAAGACATCGCCTGACTCAAAGTGATTCTCCACCAAACAGTCCTCGTTCAGTAAGTGCTCCACAAACTCACATTACAGCTGACAGCTGGATTTTCCCGTCTCACTTTAGCCAGCAACAAGAGAACCAGAGTAAAATATGGACAGAAAAACCTTCATCTTATTTATTTGATTTATTTTTAGCAAAAACCCATATTTGCAGCCAGGGTCAGCACAAATGTGACTCCTTCAGACTGCGTTTTAGTTTTAAACGTCTAATTTAAGCACTTACTGCTTAAATGGTTTAAATGAGCCTGTGGTAGTTTATGTAGTGTTTCATGTGTGAAGCCTTATGTATGCTAAGTAACATCACAGTATAAATGGATGTGGCTTTTCTGTGTCTTTGTAAAGGTACGGTGTAACTCCTGAGAATATCATCTTGTACGGTCAGAGCATCGGCACGGTGCCCACCATCGATCTGGCTGCTCGCTATGAATGTGCTGCCGTCATCCTGCACTCGCCACTAATGTCGGGCTTACGGGTGGCCTTCCCTGACACACGCAAGACTTACTGCTTCGATGCCTTCCCCAGGTATGTGTTAAAGACACAATCAACACGCACACATGTCACAGCGTGGGCAACCAGCAGTGTTACAGTTTTATTGTAACGCTGATGCGTTAAACCTCTGATATAAAGGTAGAAATGTGACTTTCTGTCAGGCAACTGCTTCACGGTTAGTAGGAGGGAAAAGAGTAAAATTAATAGAAGAAGAAGAAAAACTCTGAGCTCAAGTCCTTTCTGTTTCTGGAACTGAAAAGTCTCTTTGTCATATTTGTGTGATGTATGTAGGTATTAAAACAAACAAACGTTGAAACTTAAACATGATTTAAATGAACTTTTAGGCTCCACCTTAGTTTTTATTGCACCCATAATATAAGGAAATAGCTGATGCATTTATTTATTACCAGAGGTAAATTTCTGTAAAACAGTTGCTCATATATGTGAAGGATCAAAAGTCAGCATGGAGACAAAACATAAAACACAACGATAAAAGGAAGCACAGAGATATTTGCTCTGCAGTCCTGCAGCAACAGATGTGGCTGCAAGGTCACATGTGACTGCCTCTGAAGGTTGGAACATAAACAAAATTCAAGCTGGCATCTAAAAACTTGGTGTTGGTCTATGAGAAGTGGCATTTGTAAAAAGCAGCAACAACAAGTGAAATATGTTCTCTGGGGTTTATTTTGCTTGTCCTCTCTGGACTGTAGCAGAATTATTGTCTGTCACAGTGAAAACCCAACAGATCGATACAGCTTTTATCATACTGGCCCACTCGATTGTCGTAGTTTGTTCGATCTTTATTTATTTATATTTACTTTTAAGTAGTGCTGTCAATAGATTAAAAAAATAACAAACTAACTCACAATTTTCTGTAATTAATCGCGATTAATCGCAATTACTTGACCAGTAGCCTGGCTGCAATTACACTTTTTCAACTTTATATTTAAGCTTGTAACTGACATTTATGCAACATAATGAAGCAGAATAAATACAAAGAATGTTAAATGCTTAAATTCAAAGAGATTATTAACACAGCTTCTCTCCTGTGGAATACAACTTTTTAAAAAACCCTGTATACTAATAGGTAAGTATACACTCATATATAATATATATTAGTGCTGTCAAACTGTTAAAATATTTAATCAGATTCATCACAGGGTTACTGTGGATTCATTTTGATTAATCACAATTAAATATTCATTTTTATTCTATATTAATCACATTTCATTTTGCGTGAGCAAACAGAAAAAAGGAAAATATACGAACTTAACATGTTTATTGAACATCTTAAACCTTCATGTAAACAAAAAACTCTGTTTATCCTCTCTCTCTGTCACTCTTGGAGAGGCTTCAAGTCCTTGAAACGAGGAACCACAGCGATGTAAAGCGCCTGTTCTCAACGACATTAACAGGTCTGCAGTTTGTTGCAATCCACTTGGCATCAATCAATATGTCCGAGGTCGACTTACTGAGCCCCCGATGCTCCGTCAGTGGTTTGTCGCGAGCTGGGTGACATGTTAGCTAAGTGCTAGCAGCATCCTGACTAACGTAGGCTTCGCTTCAATGTGATATTTTAAGCTGGAAGTGCTTCGGTGAAAAGAAAATTCCTTCTGCTGAGACAAACTGCCCGAAATGCGTTGACAGAAACATTTCAGGGATTTTGAGTCATTCTGCACTCCAGATGTGTTAATAGCGTTACATTTTTTGTATCGCGTTAATCGTAATGACGGCGTAATCTGCGTTAATGCGTTGATTTTGACAGCACTACTTTTAAGTTATTAGATTCAAAACTGACAGGACTAGGGAAGGTGAAAGACGAGGAAAAGAGAAGTTGTGAAGAGGCTCAACAACCGGAGAGGAACAGAAAGACAGAGGAGAGAGAGAGCGTTTGATCACCTGCTGGGAAAAAAACTAAAACAAGCACAAAGAAAAATCACAGTGGGGAAACCACAGCTACAGCCAACATAAGCATAAATAGCAGTAAATAATAAATATTGAATGTTACTGAGCAGCATGCAAGACCGACAACCCACGATATGTTTAGAAGCAGCAGCCAACCAAGACAGTGTGTTTGTGAAGTCTGTACTCAGGTGTGTGAAGAATCAAAACAGTGCACACTGCAAAGCGTTTCAAACGCATGTTACCACAAAGGCAACTAACATTATTTGAAGCATTGCCATCCTTGCACAGGTGACTGTTAACCTGCACAGTGAAAGACTTTACACTCCCGCCTTAGAGACGGTAATATCACAAGAACAAAAACCATGCCAGCAACCACAGTCACAAATGTCTGAGTTACGTGGCTGATTAAAGTAATTGGCCCTCAATACCAACTCTTTAGCCAGGAACTATAAGACAGCACAAAGATTATAGACCAGGGATGTCAGGTTTAGGGCCCAGAATCATCCAGGCAAAGATGCTAATCTGGCCAAAGGTGAAGGAGGTCATAAATTTGGGACTTTTAACTGTTTTTTCACAAGTTTTACAGCTTTTCCTGCAGGTAAAGACCTCTCTCATGGCAATCCATACTACACTATAGTAATTAAGTAATGAATAAACAGTTAAATGACAGAGAACACAATAAAAATAAAAATATAGCACTTTACAACGCCACAACTTTGATGTTTTTTTTGCACTAATAATGTATTTTCACTTAAACAAGCAGCTGTTTTTTATGTGCATTAA